AAAAAAAAAAAAAAGAAGATACTTGGTGGTTGCTTAGAAATTTCTATTTATTCCTCCGAGAACTGCATTTACCTATGTTTTGTGCTGTTCTTGCATGCAGAGGGACAGTAGCAATGGCCAGAGCATGTGATAAGGTGCATCTTCAATGCTTATGTCATAGCAGTGTTGATTCCATGCACTTAATTGTATTTGACTTAATTCATAAGCAACGCAATATAGGAACATCCTTCAGCATGCATGACATCAAAATCCATAAATAGCAAAGTAACTAAAAACTATCCCTTTTGTCTTCTTACCTTATGCAGTTTTTTGGAGGTGTTGAGGGAGAGACTGAAGGGCTGAAGGGACCTAAGGAGCAGCTACATCACAGTGTGTTTGTTAAGGCAGCCCCAGCCCACTACAGGTGAGAGCAGGGAGAAAAGAAGGAAGGAAAACACAGGTTGTGTCCATGTTGGTGAGGGTGAAGGTGTTCCAAACTTGTTTCAGCAAAGGAGGAAGGAGGGTAGGTTTTTTAGATATTATCTGCTTGTCTCTTGCAAAGGGAATCTGTTAGATGTAGGAATTCAGTTATGTGTGTTTTGAGATACCCCCTTTCTGTAACATGCTGACCATGCTTTTATAATTTTTCCAGGTGCACCTCTTACAGGCCTTGATAGACTTACAAGCCCGCTGCTGATAACAAGGAGTGGGGAGGGGAAAGAAATGAAAAGAGGCATGTGGTTTTCCTTCTTTTGTCCATCTTCCCAGCCCACCCTGGCAGAACAAAGGTTTTCTCAGAACAGGAGTTAGTGACATTGTCACTGGGCAAGTGGAGGTGCCAGGTGCATATTACCAGAAAACATCATACTTGGAAAATACTCCATGCATATTGATGGCCTACAGCTGTTCCCCCAAATGGAGAACAAGAAGGGATCCAGATCCAAAGCATCTGCTCCCATAGGCTATAAAACATTTAATGAAAGCAACTCAAATACAAAGCACAGTGTTTTTCCCAGCAAGGGTAGATGTGTGGAGAGTTGCTACAGCAACAGCCCTGCTTCTTGGATCAAGGCAAGGTACTTGGAACACAGCAGCAACTTTTTACAATAGAATCCATACAGTGATAAAAATTGCCTACCTGTACTACGTACCCAGAGGTACATTTAAAGTTGGCAGGCTGAGGAGCTCCATTGATCAAAATGTCACCAGAAAGCCCATGGGGATCCTTCCTTGCAGCCAAAATGTCAAGTAGCCTAGAGGAAAAGTTAGTTACTTTGTCAGATGAGCATGCAGGAGGTAAAGATCTCTGAATCACAAGCCCAGTTCATGGAACAAACAGCTACATGAAAGCATACCACGTTAAACATTTGCAATTTAGAAAATCCCCAGCAACTTTGAAGGACTGAGTTTCTTTTGTCGTGGTTTCCTAAGGAAATGAGATCTGTGCAATTTTATGTCCATTTTTTCAAGAAATTGAGCTTTGCTTAGAATGATGCATAAAGATCGTGTTATCAGCAAAGTCTGGACTAAAGCTGAATTTCATCTTTGTCATATAACCTGACTGTCTTTTTTGAATTCAAGTATTTCTCAGAAACAGGTGAGATTTGCACAGACCTAAAATAAAAGCACGATCTTTCTCTGAAAGTATTGTCCATTACTGCTAAATATGTGCAGTTTCATTTTCTCTTTGGTATAACCTCTGTGTAGGACAAAGGGGGCACTTACGAAGATTTACCACTGCCAGTGGGTCCCAAAATTGCATTCAGTCCAGGTCTCATGATGCCACTGTAAGACAAAACAGATTTACAAAATAAATAGAGTGCATTTACCTCTTTTACTGTTTCAGCTGGTAGGCTGTATAACTTATCTGTACAACTACCTTCTACATCCCATTAATTTTGGAATTAATGAAGCTGCCTGATCACTAGCAAGATTTATGATCAGTCAAACTCCACTTTAATTTTTATTCCTAATTCAAGAAGAACTAGTCTTCATATTATGAAGACAATACAGAAACATGAGTAAAATGTAAAAAAATCTGTACATATATTTTTACCCCATGGATCTCTGCAAGTGAAGCAGACACTTGCTTTAACCATATTCAGTTCTAAAGGTATTATTCTCTTTAACAGAGAGAATAATGGTCCCTGTAGGCAGAACATACTAGGGATTTGTCTTTACTTAAACTGCAGTTGACAGTTTCTCTGTATCTGACATTAAGCCACATGAAACTCAAAAGCCAGATAGAAAATGTTCCAAATGACCAATGTCAGTCAACTAAGTTACCACAACATATGGCTCTTGAGGAAGTTAGGAAAGACTCTGAGCTCATGTTTAGGAGGTGTGGAAATTGCACAGACAAAGAGCAGAACAGACAGAGCTACACAAAAGGGTGAATATTTACGATAGAAATTGAAGTTAGGGAGCTGAAAGTCACAGGTGACTTGGAATGGCATATTGTATAAGCACTTGGCACTTAGTTTAACTACTGAACTGTGAATGGGCAAACTTTATGCATCGATTATTGAACAAAGGCCATAATGACATGATTCCTTTACTACAGTAGTGCTCAATGTTGGGGGAAAAAAACCAAACAACCCGTCAAAAAACCACCAAAAAACCAGAAAACTTTACATCTCTTTAAAATTAACATAACCCTCGCTTATATTACTGTCTTACACATTATAAGTAAACTTCCCAAGATTAACCTTTCCAAAGGCCACCTTAGGGTGGGAGACACAACCATCGAGGACAGGCTGTTGGTATCTCGGTTAAACACTACAGCCCAGTGGGAGAACTGCCAAGTACTGCAGAACGATCAGAGCTGGCTGGTGTGGCCCTGTGCCGATAGCAGCCAGGAGGGCTGTACCCCTAGGGCCCAGGGAAATGATGCCCAGCAGCATGAGCTTTCTGAGGTACAGGCTCAGCACTAGAGACTGAGGACCACTGGAGCCTAGCAGGAAGCTTAAGCACAGCTGATAGCAAACATGAACATATCATTTTTCTAAATCTTGGTCAAATATTGTATATTGTGCTTAATGGCTCGGTGACATGAGTGGACTCAGCTGTCCAGACAGAAATAAAACATACACGTACTCTAAAGAGATATTTAAATACATACTTGACATCTCTCAAAACTTCTTTAGTGGCTGTTTTTTGACAGCACAGGAACCCACTCTTCATCTTCACACGGTAGCAGATGTTGTGGAAAGTGAGCACGCTCCCTGCCCTGCCAGCTAAGTCTGGCGAGGACGGCCTTCTGCTGGGGATGCCATTTGTATTCGAGTCTGACATCTGAATGCACAGGTGCGGCTGGTCTTCTGCCATCCTTCCTCTGGAAATGGAAAAACAGGTAAGGTAAGATTTGATTAGTTATAGAGAGGAAAGATGCAT